GGGCCTGTGGGAGCCCCCCAAAATTTAAAAAAAAAAAAAAAAAAAAAAAGATTTTTTTTTTTTTTTTCCCAAAGGTCAGGCTCTTGTGGAGGCTTCTTAAAGCACACAAATTGAATGTTCTGGTTTGCACAACTCTGAGTTGTACCCTTTTTTGCAGTTTTTACAGATAGGACTCCTCTGCAGAAACATCATAAGTTTCTTTTTAGTGTTCTGGGACAGGGGTCCCCAACCACCGGTCTGTGGATTGGTGCCGGGCCGCGCCCCATTTGGTACCGGGGCACACAGAGACAGACCAAGATCGTATTTTGTTTTGTTCTTTTCTTTTTGCTGAGCGTCAGTCAACCATTCCTATGCGAAAATGTGCACGACTCTAGTCAAACGGAGTCCCCCTTTCGAACATTGGTTTGCAAGTTTGAATAAACAGAATCCGCCCGTAGATGAAAGAAGCAGCAGTACACAGAAAGTACTGGAACAGTAACAAATTGACAAACATACATCTAAACGCGCAGCAGATGAAGCTGTTTTGACGAGAGAAGTTTCACCCCTGGCGGTATCTCCAGAGCGGTGTAGAGGAGGAAGCTGTTATGCAAGAAACCTGTTGAATCATTTGAACAAGTAGCACCCAAGTTATCAAGTGGAAAGCTTCACAATGCGATAAGTGTTTGCACAGCCTGCCCACGTAAACATTATAACAGTAGTTTTTAACCTTGTTCGAGGTACCAAACGCAACCAGTACATCCAGTTCATATGCACATTCACCGAATCCATATACACACACACACACACACACACACACACACAAATTCAAGACATAAAAACGCATTTATTAAAAACGGAAAAAAATGTCAAAACATAAGTATACGTTTTTTTAATTGTGCACAAAATGAACCAGCCAGTGATGGCCAAGCGGGCATTTTGAGTCGGGTGTGTCTTAACCTCCATGGCAGAAGCTCCGTCGAACCCCTGAGACCGATTCACCGAACCCAGGTTAAGAACCATTGCATTAGACGTTTAGTCACTAATAACTAGCCAGCAGCCGCCGGATGAAAGTAACATTCAATTGTGTCATCTTCTGATCAGTCATGTTTGCAAGTAGCAAGATGCTAATGTGGTATCTCGGATTATAACTTAAAACATATTTTGTTGACATAATAAAGTGTATTTATGATTCCTAATTGGTTCATTTCTTAGTAGTTTACCTTGTTATTTTATATTATTCTACATTTGTTGTCCTATTGAATGATACTGTTCAATTAAAAAAATGTTAATAAAACCTTTACTTTATAATTATGTTTGTTCGTCAGTACCAGTGCTTTAAAACTAACAATTTAAAAACAATTAAAAAAAAAAGGTTTGCATCTGCTTGTGACAAAAATTAGGTTGGGGAACCCTGTTCTAGGAGACATGTGCCCCAACCAACCTACATACCTCATGACTACCTACCTGTTTCTACCATCCTATATGCCTAACATCCTACCTTCACTCCTCACTATGTGGCTCCTGGCCTACCGACAGACCGACTGACCGACCTACTACCTATATTCAACTACCCATCTCCCGACCTGTGTCCACATCGATCAGCAATGCTTCCTCAGAGAAGTGCAGTGTAATGTGGAGCAATGTTATTTAGGCTGATAGTGACTGGCAGTGATGTCGAAATAATGCATCTTTCTTTATAGAGTGTTTTCACAACAGCTGCAGCTGTAACAAAGCGCTTTACAGAACAGTTAACAGACAGTCCCAAAAATAATAGAACACATAAATGTCAAATAGTGAAAGAATCAAATCAGTTGCAGTTCTGCATGACTGCAGCCACAGAAATAAAACCCATCAATCTCACACCCTTGTAATCCCGCAGAGAAGATTTCCTTCATTTTTATTATTGATACCTCTGGAGCGTTTGTGGAGTGTGCCTCTGTACGTTTCTTTTTACTGGAGGTTCACAAGAACTGGTTGGCAGGAAGGTAGATATGAAGTCCCCTCCAGAAATATTGGAGCGGCAGTGTCAATGCCTTTGTTTTGGTTTTCCACTCAAGACATTTGGGTTTGAGATAAAAAGGGAGGACTTTTATTTCATGGTATTTGCATCTCGATATGTTAAACCACTCAAGAAGGAGCATCTTTTGATTGATGCCACCCACTTTTCAAGTGTGCAAAAATAGACTTCTGAATCCATTCTGCTGTGACCATCATAAATTAACACCATCAATAAAGACTTGGAAAGAAGTAATACATATGCCATACCACACGATGCTCACCATTCATCACCAAAAAGAATCAGAAGGCCAGACTGGATTTTACAAAGAAGTACAATAAATAGATAGTTCAGCCAGAAAAGTTTTGGAACAAAGTTTTGTAGGCTGATGAGACCACCACTTAGGTGGATTGAATAACCCACAAAACATCACAATTTTAGTTATTTTGTACAAAGCAGTCCAACCTTTTGAGTTGTTTTGTGTTCTATTCACTGTAATCAACTTTTGGGTGCATTAAATAATCCAAAAAGTTGGGGCAAATTGACCAGAGTGGTGGTCGGTCCCTTTTTGACCCACAAATGGGTTCTTTTTAACGCAACAGTTTTTAGAATGTGTAAAAGGTGATTCATTCCTGTCTACTTACGCACCTACCTGCCTGTCTACTAATAACCTACCGTCTTCCCTCGCTGCTTTCTTTTCCAGCTGCCAACTTGACCGAAGAAGCGTCGCCTTCGTGCCCCCTTGGCTACTTCCCGTGCGGCAACCTGAGCATGTGCCTGCCCCAATTGCTGCACTGCAACGGTGCTGATGACTGCGGGAACCAAGCGGACGAGGAGAACTGCGGTGAGCCACTTCCCCAGTCAGCCAACCTTTTTTTGTTGTTGTTATTGTTCCCCCCCCACGTATGTCATCAAGTTTTGGTTGTGTGCTTGGATTTAACTGGAATCAACTCGGCCAGATCTTTTGATCCCTCACACAGATCATTTCCCCATATTGTCAATCTGGAAGGCTCCACACGAGTGGAACACACTTCTTGTTTTGTAAAGGTACATACTAGGTAGATTGCTAGGTAGGTAATTATATCTAAGGTAATAGTATATAAGTAAGAGGTAGGTTGATTGGTAGGAAGGTAAAGGCAAAAAAAGTTGATAAATGAGGATAGTGTCAAGTCAAGTCAAGTTTATTGTGTTGGGGGAAAGTGGCTGTCTTTCCCCCGTGTGTTTGTTGAATTTTGGATGAGGAGGATGTTGGTAATCCAAATACAGGCTGGACTCGATGAACAGTTTCTTTGAAGCATTTAATAACAGAATATTCCGGGCACCCGTGGTTTGCAGACAATGGCTGTGGTGGTCACGCGTGCGAAGCAGGAAGGGATTCACATCATTTTTATATCATCAGAAGGGCGGCACCAAAACTCAAGGTGTGACATCAGAACTTTCGTTTCTCCTAAACCGATTCTTAGCTTGTATCAACTGGTATGTCTGTGCGTCTCCAGTAGGGAGTGTTCCAATTTTAAGTGATGATTCAAGGACGCAGAGTCTCGCTGCGAGCATGTGAAACTGATACCTCATGACGAAATATGAGCAGAATACACGCTTCCTTTGTCAAATGTGCTCTATGTGCAACACAGAGCACAGATGAAATTTCTTTCCTCTCAACCACAGGAGAGAGAGGAGCCGCTGCGGGTACCCACGCCGCCATCAACAGAAAAGTTAACAAAATAATACAACACAACACATAAGACACAGGCAGTCATGCAATCTCAAGACACAGGCAGTCATGTAATCTCAGCCAATTTTTCTGCAAATACTGTACTTTGTTGTTTGAAGCAGTTACAGATGAAAGAGGAGAGCATCAAAGTGTCCTTTCACCAGTGGATCAAAGACGTCATGCTGAAAATGTGCACACGTCTGCTACAAGCTAAGTTCGACAGCAAACAAGAAGCTGTAGCGTCCATTGACGAAAATGTGTGTAATAGGTCGTAAGAGTTCTGTTCATCTGTAAATATGTACTGGTGGGACTGACTGGTAGCAAGGTCAATCGGTAGGAGGTTGATCGATATGTTAATGTATAATAGGTAGGTGAGGAAGAGGTTTGTTGATTGGTCGGTGAGTAGTGAGGTAAATACGTAGTAGCCTACATACATGTGCGCAAATGTAGATATCAATCTAAATAAGAGGCATAAAAATAATGTTCAATCCATCTATTCTATGAAACACTTTTCATCTAGCCAGCCATTTTCTGAATTGCTTATCCTCAATATTAATAAAATACCTAGGGGACACTGTAACAATCATTTCCTGTTTAGTTGTGTGTTCAACATGATATCATATCATTTTCTCTCCAGACACCTTGTTAAATTGCCTGCTATTTTGCTGTTATATGAATATGCTCCCCTTTAACGCAGTTCCAGCAAGACTTGTGGGAAGATTGTACTCAATCACCCAAGCACTTAATTGCGGTCTTTCACAATTACATTAGGTTATCTTAGCAATTAGCATGGCTTCTCCCTCTGTTAATTACTACTACTAAACCCTCCGTGAGAACGATACTTGTAAGAAGCATAGCTTATTCGCCGCTATGGAGGCTGAATTAGGACCAAAATCATAGCGTGTTGTTTAACCACAGTTATATTAGTCAGCCAAATCTCATTGCTCGATAGCTGCTGCGTCGTAAGTAACACCGATCTTGCCTCGACCTGCCAACCACCCACGCGTAGGTGACCTAAGCAGCCCAGTTAATTTTTTGGGGACCATCTTTGCCGTTCACTGATCAGAAAACTAGAAGGTAGGTTGCCAAGTAGTTTGCTAGATACATAAATTGGTTGTAAGTGGGTAAATAGGTGGGAGGTACCTAAAGTACAGGAGGTCTTCTTATAGAAAAATTAACAGGTTGGTGGGAGGCTAAATTCTTATTGGTCGATTGGCGATCAAATCCTTATGTCATGCAATGAAATATAAATTTATTATTTAAAAAATTATCAACCGTGATTTTCTGGATTTTTCTTTTAGATTCTGTCCCACATAGTTGAAGAATACATTTGATACAAATTACAGACCTCTACCTGCTTTTGTAAGTGGGGAAATGTCAAAAATCAGCAGTGTATCAAATACTTGTTCTCCCCAATGTATATTGCACACTGCAAAAGTGGGGGTGGGACAGGTGGCCTTGACAACAACAAACTGCAGTCGTCTTTTTTCTGTGTGTGTGCGTTCACAATTCTAAGGAAGGTGAAAAAGCTGTGTCTTCACATCACAACAGATCTCTCAATCCAGGACTGCACAATTTTGAAAATTCTGTCATGGTTTTGGATATCTGGAACAGAATCGGATCCCACAAACGTAGGCAAGGATCAAATCTTGATAACAAAAGTTTATTAAAGGTCAACTGTGAAGTAATTTTAGAAAATCCCAAATGAAATATTTTTATGTCACAAGTAATTCAACAAAATACATTAAATAAAGGCAGCTTGGTGGACGAGTGGTTAGTGCATCCACCTCACAGTCGACGCACACAAGACGAACAACCATCCGCGCTCACACTCACCCCGAGGCACAATTTAGAGTGTTTTTTGGAATGTGGGAGAAAACCGGATTCCCTGGAGAAAACCCACACAGGCACAGGAAGAACATGCAAACTCCACACAGGGAGGCCAGAGCCGGAATCAAACCCTGCACCTCTGCACCGTGAGGTCAACATGCCAACCAGTTGACCACAGTGCCACCCATTAAATAAAGCATGAAAAAAAATTCCTATTTCGTAAATTTGACAAAGTAATAATTTTCCCGAAATGAGATCCTGACGAGCATCAAACCCGGAAGTGTGACATCACTTCAAGACAATAATAATGGGGCTCACTATGGAAAGTGGACAAAGCCAGTCAGAAATAATTTCGAAAAGGGATGTTTCAAACTTATCTGAGGGGCTCCAGCTGTTTGAAGAGTTGGAGGAAGAGGAGGTTGTTGGTCAGGTGTATGTTGGACCACACATGTACGAGCCAGATGCTCAAGATGAAGAAAATGTTGTGGCTGAACGGCTGGACGCAGAGTGGAAATGAGACCCATCGGGATTGGAAGAACGGTAAACTACAGAGACTGCGGTTATTAGCCTAGCGTTATTGTTTGCAATTCGATGCGGTGCTGTGCTGTAAACTGCGCACGATGGGATTACCTACTTGGTCCATGTATTCCCGCTAGCACTGAGAACACAAGTGATAGTGGGTTGGTGTCCTACATTGTCATTGCTAAAGTCGTTCTGTCGGCCACTCTGCACGTTATATCGGCAACATTGTTAGTTGTAAACCATTACAGAGGACTCCATCCGTGCACTCATATAGTTTGAATGTTTTCGTATAGAATGACATCCATGTACACATTTTTATAAACAGCCAGAGTTATTCATTGATTAGCACACCGACCTTTTTTGCAAATGCCGTTGCGAAAGCAGAGATCTTTGAAGTGCTTGTAACAAAGGATGCTGGTCAACACCTGTGTGAAATATATTTGTTTTGCGACAACAAACCTTTATTCGTCCATTTACATGCCCTATTCTTTTCTTGTAGCCACTCAACCGTTTGCGTGAATGTGAACAGTGGATCGCCAGTCAGCGTCGAGGCATTTTGTCAAATAACTCGATAACAATGGCAAAGAGCATTTAATGGGACAATCAATCATGCAGTACAATGAATGACTGGCACTCTGCCTTCTGTAAATGACATCACTCGCCGAACAAAACCATTTTCGTTGTTATGCGCGTCACTATGGCTCTAACTATGAACCTGGGTGGGTTGCGTTTAAAAAAACGAAGAAAAGTAGCCGTGAAATAGTTTTAACCCTAAGTATTACTCAAAAGATGGTTGGCCAAGTTTACTTCACAGCTGACCTTTTAGCAAAACGCAAGACCGACAAAGTCCAACAAATGGCGCTGGTAACAAAGAACCAGGACAAAATGCAATAAACCAAAAACGCCTGCAAAAGGCGAGGACAGAAAATGAACGTAAATTGTTTGTCCCGAAAAGGACAAGGAAAATCCAATTCCATGAAACGGGATAAAACACCGAGTTTAGAACTATGACAAAAAGTAGTGATGTTCGTGTCAAGACTTCGGAGCGTGTATCGAGAAATGAAGGGGGTATTTCCGCAACGCGTGTATCGAGGCTTGCTTCAGTTAGGGGAGGAGCTGAAAATGATGACGTTCGAAGCCTCGCTGGCTGGTGTACTATGTGACTGATTTGGGAAATGCTTCAGTTTGTTGCGCGATGTTTGACAGATTTGCCCCTCAGGCAGTGGCTCCATGAAGGCGCATTGTGTGCTTGCGTGTGTGTGTGTGTGTGTGTGTGTGTGTGTGTGTGTGTGTGTGTGTGTGTGTGTGTGTGTGTGTGTGTGTGTGTGTGTGTGTGTGTAGATTC